CTCTTGATGCAGATCGAATGGCGTATGAATAGTTTTAAATGGGTGAATGGGAAATTGGGTGGGGAAAGGGGGTTAGGATTAATGAAGAGGGGTTATCGTGTCTGTTTTTGTTTTGTTTTTTGGGTTGGACTGTGGTGATAGAATGAGTCTTGGTAAATGATTGAGGAAGGGTTATTTGATGCGGAAGCGATATATATATATATATATATGTGGTTGTTAATGTGGCTGGGAATCCGTGGGTATATTTGACTGTAGAAGGCTCTTTCCCTCGCTTGTTTTCCCCATCGTTAGCAAAAAGTTGGTGTTTTACTGCGGGGTGTGAGAAGCGGCTTGACTCTTCTGATTGGGCTGCGTATGAAAAATGGTGGGAAGGAGGAAGAAGGGGAAGAAACATGGGGTTTTGCTCCTTCTCTGGGGTGTGTGTGATTGTGTGTTCATGGTTCTTTTTTGAGGTTTTTCGCCCTCCGAGAAACCTCATTTTTTTTTTTCTTTTATTCACTGCATTTGTTTGTTGTTGTTCCTTCTTGTTGCGTGGCTGCCTTTCTTTCTTCTCTGTGCGTATGTGTGATGTTTCTGTCCAACTCCCTTTTTTTTTTTTCTTTGCGCCGTGCAGTCCGGGATTTACCCCGTTTGCAGCCACTGCGCATGGACAGGAGACGTGGGTCCAATGACGCCTCAGACTCCTCCGGCAGCTCCCAGAGCCGGAGCTTTGAGCATACGCAGCAGCAAGAGCGGACATCTCGTGTTTGGTCACAGATGAACTCCAACCGGGGTGAACCAGGTTCCTACAGCCGAGCCGGCAGCGGGGAGGCCGATGAGGCACAAGAACTAATGACTCTCGTTCGCGCGGAAGACAGCTTTCCGCTTCTTTGCGACTCCGTTTACAGCGATACTTCGTTTGATGGGTTCGGCCGTGCCAAACGGAAAGATCTCTACCACAACCCTCATGTGTACGAAAGCGTCTCTGTCACAAGAGATTTTCCTTCTGAAACTTCGAGTCCCCCCAGTGTATCTTTGAAGGGGTGGTATGCGCATGGTGAACAGGGGCGGCTCTCCCGAATACAATACCGCGATGAGTATACTCAATTATTGAATCCGCAGCAACAGACGCAGCGGCATTCTGGCACGGATGCGGATACGGATGCAGATGAGGATCGCGCTTCTTCCTCTTTTAAAACACCAGAAACGTCAACCCCTTCGGCGAATGAGAAAAGTTTTGCCACGCCAAAAGCAGAGGCAGTGGAGGTAGAGATGCACGATCAAAGCGACGTAAACTCTGACAAAAAACAAGCTCGTTTTGTGGACAATAACCCGGAACCTGTTAGTACCAACGTGGAGCGGATGAAATATGAAGTTCCTGAAGATCCCCGCAATCTTATCATTAATGTAATTGTAAATAGTGCTTCTGCCAGTGTAACTCTTCAAGAAATCCATAATGCTCTGCAGTGGGAGGAGCAATTTGAGGCGACGAATGGTAGCGTCCTGGAATACCTGCAAGGTTATCAGTCCATATTTGCCGTATCCCCAATAGACGACCGTGTGACGCTACGTCGTCCATTGAAAACGGCAAAAGGCCGTCGTAAAGTGCGTGGTCAACGTGGGCACTGTTCCATCCCCAACAAAATAGGGAGCATCAGCTATAGTTATGTGGCCTCGGCTTTTGATCTGGACGCTCTTTCTGCGATCTATAAACGCCGCGGATATGATACGGCTCTTATTTATGAAGTTCTCCACGTCTCTTCTCATCGTATTTTTGACATGTTCCTGTTTCCAAATGGTGTGGTGGTATGGTGGGGGTTGAATCGACGAGATCATTGGCTGGTGGAAGACGATTTTTTGTCCTCCGTCAACTCCTTCGTGCGGGAGGGGGTGAAAGAACGCCATGCTCAGAAAGCGATTGACGACTTGTTCCCGTTCTGGTGCTCCTACGAGTTGGATGAGCACTACGACTCGAGTACGCCCTCCCGCAGGGAAGAGGCCCTTGAACGCTTTGGTACCCATCTCTGCTTTGACCACTATCTCATTCCTGTTGTCAAGCCTCTCCGCACACAAATTATGCTCACAGTTTCCTACTCTCTCGGTCGTACCGCCGTGGTCGACTTTTTCGATAACATGACGCATCATTTGCAAAAACAGGTGTTGGCGATCCCTTCCGATATCAAAAGTCTTTTTGATTATTTTTCGATGCGACACCACATTGCGCACCGTGAGGGGGAGATCCAACTGGCACGCTCAGCCATCATGGCCCTACGCGATTCACCTGAATTTTTGTGGGAAATGCCGTGGCTGGATGATTATTATCAACTCGCAGAAAGGCAAAATGCATCGGGTCAGCTTCTTATGTGCTTCATCGCCAAGAGCGATGCTCTCCTGCAGCAATTGGCGTATATTAAGACGAGACGGTTTTGTCTTTTCATTTTAGGCTCAGACGTTTTTTTGATTTTGATTCTTGTGGCGGACGTTTTCTTCATCATGGCAGGTTTTATTCTGAAGCTCTACTTTAATCTAGGGAAGGAGGAGACGGCGTCGTCGTGAATTTCCCCGCAGAAGCAATCAAATAGAGCAGGGGAAGGGAAGAAGAAAATAATAATAAACACGAGCACTGAAGAAGGCTGAGGATACGGTGAGCATAAAACATAAAAAGTGAAAAGCTCAAAAGAATATGATGAATCCCCGTGCTTTGTTGTCTATTTATTCATTCAGGGATTCACTCCCTCTTTGTCGCCTTGTTTAAGGTGTCCAGAGCGTACTGTGGAGTCTGCATAGCAGCTGCGGCGAGAAATTAATGATGTGGAGGTTTGTTCCGCGTGCAAAATGGATGGGTTTGCTTTGGTGTTTCTGATTTTGCGATGTTTATTTTTCTTTTTTTGTGTTATATATATATATATATATATATATATATATATATGGATTCCCTTTGCTGCCACCGGTTTTTTCTGCTGCGCTTTGCCTTTGCCTTTTTTTTTTTTTTTTTTGTGGGGTAGCGCAGTATTAAATATACACGTGAAATTGGAGGCGGAAGGGTAAAAAGCGGGCAAGGGAGAGAAGAATGGAGGCGGCGGATATGGAGGATGCTTTCAACGTCGGCGCTGCGCCCGTTGCAGCAGCTGAACGCCTGGCTTTTGTGAATGCCCGTCGGCGTAAATGGTCACCCGCGCAGCGTCAGGACTACGGCGACGGCATCCCGAGCAACGCAACTGTGTTTATACACACATTTGGCTGCAGCCACAATGTCAGTGACGGCGAATACATGGCTGGGCTTCTTGCGCAAGCCGGCTACCGCGTAACCGACGTCTTCAATGACGCCGATGTGTATCTCCTGAACTCTTGTACCGTCAAAAACCCGAGCGAAGAGCACTTCATCAGCATGATGAATCGCGTGCGTGCCACGGGTAAGCCACTTGTTGTCGCTGGATGTGTGCCACAGGCGGACCCAAGAAACACACAGTGGGATGATGTGAGTGTTATTGGTGTCCGCAACATTGATCGCGTTGGTGAAGTTATTCATGAAGCTCTGCAGGGCCACTGTGTGCGACTTATTGGGGTGAATGAACATGCGAACAATAAACAAGATTTCAATAAACTTCCACCGCTGGATCTTCCAAAGATCAGACGTAATCGATTTATAGAAATTATTCCCATTAGTGTTGGTTGCCTGAATCACTGCACATATTGTAAAACAAAGCAGGCTCGTGGAGATTTGCGGAGTTGGCCCATCGAGTCTATCGTTTTGCGGGTTCGTTCTGTTCTGAAGGAGGGAGTAAAGGAAATTCGTATCACCTCCGAGGATGTTGGGGCTTACGGCATTGACATTAACACGGATATTATTTGTCTCTTGCGTGCCATTGTAAAGGAAATTCAAGGCACAGAAGTCATGATGCGTGTAGGAATGAGCAACCCACCGTACCTCCTACGACACTTAGATGATTTCGCGGCGCTTCTTAGGCATCCAAATGTATATGAGTTTGTGCATATTCCCATACAATCTGGATCCAATCGTATTTTGAATGCGATGCAGCGGGAATATACTTTAGAAGAGTTCTACGAGTGTGTGCATCGCATACGCAGCGTTGTGCCAAATGTGACGCTTGCTACAGACATTATTTGTGCCTTCCCAGGTGAAGGTGAGGCAGAGTGGCGTGAGACCATGGAGCTCTGTGACCACGTCCGCTTTCCTGTTTTGAACATTACCCGTTTTTACCCGCGTCGAAACACACCTGCGGCGTCAATGAAGCAAATCCCAACCGATGTGGCAAAGCGGCGCACGTCTGAGCTCACGGCATTTTTCAATTCTTATCGAACCCTTGACCACATGGTAGGCGAGGTGCATTCCGTCGCTCTTCTGGAAACAGCACATGACAAGCACCATCTCGTTGGGCATACAAAGGCCTACGTGCAGGTTCTTGTCGACCCTCAAGAAGCCAGATTAGGGGAGACTGTCACTGTTGTCATCATGTCGACCACAAAGTACAGTGTGGTGGGCCGAGTGCTGCGCCGCCACTGCGAACGACTTTTAGCGAAGTCAACAATGACTGCTCGCCAAATCAACTGGAGGTCTCTGAGTGTCGTCGCCTGTTTTGTGTCCGCATTTGCGGCGGCGACAGCCGTAGCGATCCGCAAAGTACATGCAGGGCGGCGTTGATGCGGAGACAGAAAAAAAGGAGGATATAGGGGAAGGGCCTGTTGGGTTTTCCCACCCGCATTTGATTGCTTATTCAGCGTCTGTCTCACGCATCTTGGCGCCAAAAACATTTTAGACGTTTAAATGGAGATAACATCTTTAAAAATATTTCTCACAATTCCTTTGCATTTATACCCTTTGAAATAAAAAGGCTCTTTTTTTCTTTTTTACCAATGTCTATCTTTCTCACCCATTCGGTTTTCTGTAGACGGTGGAATTTCTTTTTTGCGTTTTTTTTTTGTTTGTTTGTTTGTTGTAACACATTTTCTTTTTTTTTTTTTTCTTTTTTTAAACAACTGTCAGCACGTAGTATCGGTAAATGGACGAGGTCGTGCTGGGTGTGCCACAGCTGGCGGGGTGTGAGGCAGCAAGACGTAAGCCATTTGAGGAATACACCTCCCGCTACACGGTTGTCAAGAATTCGTGGAAAGGGAAGTACATGCGCATCTTTTGTATCGGGCCTCGACAGGTTGCGACAATCAACCCGCAAAGTATCTTTCGTGTCACCAACAACTGGGAATATAATAGTCACCTCGTGGATGTTGTGGCCACTCCAGGCAGTCCGACGGACTTCACAGTCACCATAGGCAAGATAGGCAAACCAGAAACGATGAGCTTTCATTGCAACACTGCCATGGATCGCGCGGAGTTGCTTACGGATGTGCAGCGAAACCGCGCAAAGTTCGATGCGAGGTACAGGCAACAGGTTTTCAACCATGTGTTTGATGCCCGCAAGTACAGTTTTTATGAAGAATATCGAAACTGTCGTCTTCGCATCACAAGTATTGCCGTGGAGCAATTGAGTCCCGAAGGAAATGTTGTGGGGGAGTATCTTTTTATGCACATTAAAGGACTCACTTCTATTCTTGCCAACCCACGCACTCTTATCTTGTTGTATGGCCCCCAGTTGAAGATGCATCTGTATGAAATGGAAGATTGCCAGAGAGTGGCAACACTGATCGAGGAGTTTTCGAGGCGGTTCATCGGTCTTCCACCCTTGCGTGAGGTGCGGCGATTAACTCAGCAGCAGTTTGACTCGGACCGCCTCGGCGTGGATCGAGCGGAAATGGTATCCCTGGCGAAGTTCCCCGTGTCAAAGTGGAGTTTGAAACACCCCGATACTCCCATGCGTCGTATTTTAGCGACAACACAAAAATATCTTTTGGAGTTGGATGCTGCCACGTATAACCCCGTCAGTGCATTCTTTTTTGCCGACATTTATGCACTTATTCGCTCGGAAGAGGATGACCAACGGCTGATGATTCAATTTAAGGAACCAGCGATTACGAAGGTGTACACATCCCCCATGCGGGATGCGCTGCTGGCCCATCTCGTGGATTGCTGCCGCGCATCCCGCAATCTTAACGTCTGTGTCATTGCAAATCTATTTGATCGTGGAAAGCGTGCAGCGCCATGCCGCACACCAATCCCGGAGGAAATCGAGAGTACATTACTGAACTGTCTGATTGATCCCAGCAAGGGCGGTGGTCCGATTGCCATGACTTTCCCCGAGGTGGTGGAGTTTTTTAACGCCAACATTGAGTACAGCGGCCTTCGCCTTTCGGAGAATCGTGAAGGACTCTTTGCGGAAAATAGGGAAAAAATGATTTTTAGTGGACTCGCGGCGTTGTTAAATAACTTTCCAGTGACAGATGATCCGTTGGTCGTGGTGCAACAATTTTATGCTCTTCGAAGACTTTGTGTCGCACGCATTGGGTTCAGCTCGGTTGCCGTTGTACCGTCTTTTATGAAGAATATTGAGGATGTAAGTATGAAGGCTTTAAAAATGAACCACGTTGCAGTTTCTCATGCAGTAGTCGACTTACTTGGAACTCTCATGACGCCACATCACGACTACTATGAGTTGGCTCATGAAGAGGCGAATAAAAATTACATTCTTGGACAAGAGCAACTCGTACTTCGTCTACTCCGGATGCTACGAGACTACGCCACAACTGATAGCGCCGCCCTGGTTGTGCAAGCCTTGCTGGATTTTTTTGTTTACGCATTGTGCCCTCCCTACTGTGAGAGCACAGAGGCCATGCTATTTACTTCTGTTATGAAAGATTTGGTTGATACTACGGGGAAAGAGCTCTTTTTACTGATGCAGCATGGATGCAATGCCATCAGCTACAGCGCTGGACAATTAATTCGTGTTATCATGGAAGAGGGAACAGGTGAGCAGTTTCGTGCCTTGCAACTGGCTGCTCTTAGCGAGGGTGGGATCATTGGACAGCTGCACTTAGCGATATTTAGTAAGAACCGTGAATTACGCGATCTTGCCCGTCAACTCATTGCGTACTGGACCTATGAAAACACGGATATGCAGGATCTCATGCGGACCATATTTCCCCCGGCACTGCTGTATTATCTTCAATCCTCCGAAGAGCCTCCAAAGGATGAGATGGAGGAGGAACGCCAGAGAAACGTCGTGCCCATGACGAGTGCCTTTTGGGAGTCAAAACTTGGATGGTTTAAAAAAAGATTTCATCCAAGTGAAGTGTTGTCGAGGGGTGCGGCTCAGAATTTGTCCCCGTCACAGGGTGACGGAGTTTTCAAACGTCCCAGGCATGTGAAGGTGAAAACAACATTGAACTGGCCCATGTTTTTCTACGAAATCAAACGGGATCACTTGCGACCCGAGTTGATTTGGAACCACACCACGCGAACGGAGCTCCGTGAGGCGTTGGAGGCCGAGATGCGTGTCCTAAGGCTTGGCATGTCATTACGTCATGAAAATCCCACCTCATGGAATTATCGAGAGTTTGAGGTGCGGTATCCAAGTCTTGATGATGAACTTAGGATTGGTCAGCATTACCCACGTCTGCTGTTTGAAATGAAGGATCCGGCCATTTCTAGACCAAAGGAATTTTTTAACGATATGTATCACCGTTTTCTTCTCTCACAAGAGCCTAAAACAAAGATGAGTTGTTTACATGGAATGACGATTCTCTATGAACATTACGCTGCGGATATTGGGCAATTTAACGATGTGGAGTACATTGTGAGGATGCTGGAGACGACATTTGATCCCATCTTTCGGGACCGCTTGCTTATTTTTATCTTGCAGTTGATGCGTGTTCGATATAATGTGAAGTTGTTTTTGGACTGCGATGGGTTAAAACCGCTCGTTGATCTCTTTACTCTTGCCCATCTACATGTGGACAGGCCCCAGCTTCGAAACGCAACAAATGCCATTGAGAATAATGTCGACACGACGGATCTTCAGGATCAAGAAAAAGAGTGGTACTATACCCGAGATGGCGCCAAACAAGGTCCCATATCCTACATTCGTCTGAAGCAATTGTATGAGGAAGGGGAGATAAAGACCGATACAAAGGTTTGGGCGCAAGGATTATCAGGCTGGAAGGAGCTCAAAGAAGTTCCACAGCTACGTTGGGGTATTATGGCGAGTAAAAGCAACAAGTTGCTCACTTTAACAGAGGTATCTTGTGTCATCCTTGACATTCTCTTGCTTCTCTGTGCATGCTTTCCCTCAATGGATGAGCACGGTGCCATTATGCAACCTCCCCCGCGGGTAAAACGTTTTCTTTCGAGCCCACAAGTTCTTCCTCATATTGTGCAACTGTTGCTGACCTTCGATCCAGGCTTGTGTGCCCGCGTTCATTCTCTTCTTTACCTTATCATGGAGCACAATCCACTTATGTCCCGGTTTTTCTTGACTGGCGCATTCTTTTTTGCTCTCATGTACATTGGCTCGGATGTTCTAGCATTGTGTCGTCTGCTACACCTGTCACATCGTCGACAGGCATTTCAATTTAAGGATGAAAATGAAATCGTACGTCAAAGTATCCTTAGCACAATGCTTCCACCAGCTCTTGTGTGTTTTCTAACAAATCATGGACCTGAACAATTTGCAGATGTTTTGCTTGGAGAGTACGAAAACCCAGAGGTCATTTGGGGCAAAGATATGAGAAGATATCTTGTGGAAAAAATTGCCAGTCATATTGCCGACTTTACGCCACGACTTTTGGGTAACAATCGTGCCCTGTATCAGTACTGCCCTATTGTGGGCGTCACTTACGAGCCACTGCGACATGAACTGTTTTGTTTCCAGTACTACTTGCGACACTTTTGCGACGAGTTGCGGTATCCAAATTGGCCTGTTGATGACCCCGTTAAGTTCCTCTGCGAGGTGTTGGCAGCATGGCGATTGGAACTGAATAAAAAGTCAAGTGGCCTCACACAAGAGGGATGTCTCGAGGAACTTGAGATTTCTGACCGCAGCAATCTCACACTACAGGTGATACGTAGGGGTTACTTTAAGCTTGCCGCGAAGTATCACCCGGACAAAAATCCAGATGGCCGAGAAAAATTTGAACGCATTCAGCGGGCGTATGAATTTCTTGCTTCTGAGACGTCGGTGTCCGATGAACCCAACCCGCACATTATTGCTCTTTTGCTTCGCACGCAGTCTATTCTGTTTAGGCGATTCAGTGATGTAATGAAAGGGTACAAGTATGCCGGTTATTCTTTACTGCTGAAACTCATCAAGATGGAGTTTGGCGATCCGGAGATGCTGAAAAAAGAGGTTGTGCTCATGGAACCAGCGACAGAACTGTGTTACTTTACAGTACAAAACCTCCCAATGAACGCGGATGAGTTGCAGGAAGAAGGCGGCATTGAACTCTTGTCAGGTGTTACCCAACGTTGCTTTGAGATTTTGACGCCCAATGCCACAGAGGAATTAAACCAGGCGAAAATTGTACGGCACTGTATGCATACGTTTCGTGTAGCTGCGGGCTTCGCGGACTGTCGCCGGCATATTGTTGAGGAACCCGTCATCTGCCATCTTGCAGCCAAGGGTATTGCGTATGAGAAGGCTGTAGGACTCTCTCGTGCCTGTATCCAAGCTTGTCAGGCGTTTTGTGTGGACGAGATCCTTCAGGAACGCGTTTTGAAATTTGGCGCCATTTGGCACTTGTTGCCTTTTCTTTTTCGCTACGATTACACAGTGGACGAGAATGGTCTGGAGCTTCAGGAAGAAAACCACACCCAGCTGTTTGCGAACAGGGCGGCAATTTACGCATTGCGGGCTATATACGCTTTGGCTGGAATTTGTCCGAGTGATGAATACCTGCTGACAAAACCCAACGATGAAGTTATTTGTCTGTTGCAGAGGCTGCTGACACCTTACACTGTGCGGAGAATGCAATTGCTTCCGGGGGACGAGAAGGAGCTTTTAAAGCTCCTCAACAGCAACCACAATACACCATACTTGCTATGGGACAATTCAACACGACAGGAACTCTTGGAGATGGTTAAGGGAAACTCAAAAAAATGTCGTGATGCGGGCATGTTTGCTGAAGATCTTCCAGTCATCTCAGGCAGTGTCGTTAACTACTCGCTTCATGCGGATGAGCTGGTTATTGGCGGAGTATTTGTGCGGGTATACAATGAGCAACCGAACTTTGCAATAGAGGAACCCGTAGCATTTTGTGCTGCCATGATCAAGTTTCTGGAGCAGCAATTAACGAGCAACACGACGACCGGTGTCTTGTTAACGTTAGAAGCTCTTAAACATTTGCTGATTGCTTATGCAACAGCTGGGGTCGCGAACACGTTAAAGCATCACGTTGGGATATTGATAAAAGTGTTGTTATATGAAGACACCGCAATTACTGTGAAATTGATGGAACTTCTTGAGAAGGTTGCTCTTCACCACGAATGCCTGGAGGCGATTGGTAATATTGACTCTGCCGTGGCATATATTATATTGGCACTGCATCGTGGGGGTGAGGTGGTAGAGTCACGCTGCCTAACGTTCCTGCGAGTTGCTCTTGCGGATCGCGGTGTTGCACAGCAAGCATTGGATCGAGGACTTTATGTCGTGCTGCTTCGTATTTTGGGGACCAGCACTTCGCCAGAGTGCAGAGAGGACGTTTGTTCCTCTCTTGCAAAGGCCTGTTCAGACAAATTGTGTGGCCCCAAGGTGTTTCTGCGTGCTTCCAAGCTTCTTCCTTCCGTGATGCTTGAAACGATGAATGAAAACACCACAAATGCCTGCCAGTTATTTGACACATGGCAAGAAACACCAGAGTTGATGTGGACGAAGGAACGCCGGTCACGTTTTGTGGAAATTTGTCTGGCGTGTCAATCTGATATTGTGACCACACTGCAGCAGGATCCAACAGCCTATTGGAAGATTCCAGAGAATATTCTTATCGAAAGGAATAAAGAAATGCAAATTGGTGGAGTTTACTTAGAACGTTATATGAATCAGTCGGGGTGGATAGTGCGAAAACCGAAAGAATTTCTTACAGCACTCTTAGAACGCTTTGTGGAAGAATCTGGGAAAGCGACAGAAGAAAAAAATGCGGAGATGATCTCCCTCGTTGCAGATGCGGGTGTTCGTTTGTTGCAGACGACACCTACAGTGGCAGACTATGTTGTCTCACTTGGGTATGCGCAGAAGCTATTTAAGCTATTGGAGTTGGGAGATAAAGTAATCGCGGAGAATGCCCTAAAGTGGGTTCATGAGATCTGTGCATCCCGTTTGTGTGTCGAAAGTCTTGGGAATTTTGACCCTGTCTTTTTCCTCCTTGTCTGTCTGCGGGCGCAATTTCAGCAGCTTCCACTGATCATGGATACCATGAACCGACTTATGTCGCATTCTTCAGAGCGGGCAAACATGATCCGACTTGCCCTTCGTAATCAACTCCCGCAACGCCTATTAGAACTACTTGAGGACGGCATCACATCAGAGAGTTGTGGCGAACAATCACCTGCGGCGGTGCGAGCCTTAATTATTAAGGTTTTAAAGACGATGGTGGCCGTCCAGGATCCTTTGCATGGTCCTCAACTGGAGGCCATCCTTGCGGACAGCAAAGTGTGGGTAAAGTACAAAAACCAAAGCCACGACCTTTTTCTTTCGAATACACGTTTTGGTGGATATTTGGAGGGTGCCTATCAACAAAATCAGATGCTTCTCTCATATGCTGCCGCACCTTTATCGGATGACGGCAGTGGCCAAGAGCCTCCGCCGGTGTAAGTGTGTGTGTGTGTGTGTTTTTTCTTTTCTTTTCTTGAGAGAAGGTTTTGTTAGGAGGGTTTTTTACTTTTGCTGAACAAATGTAGATCGTGTTGTCTTGATGTGAACTGAGAACTGTCTTTTATTTTTCCATTTTTGTTGTTGTTATTTTCTTGTCAACTGAAATTGGTGCCATGATTTGTGTTTGTTGGCTGGACGCATTCTCACTAGCATGAGAAGTAATGAGTATTTTGATGATGATCATTATTTTTTTTCCTCTCGTTATTTGGTGTGTAATGGATTTTGCTATTTTCCCGCTTTTTTGTGACGTGTACTTTCTCCTTTTCATTGCTGCCTCCTCCCCTTTATTCTGCGCACAAATAACAACGGTGAAGAAGAGCATCGACTCCTTTGAGCAAGCACAAGTTTTTCTTTCAAACCAGTGTACGAGAATTATGCAGCCCCAAACACCCACATTTTCCGACGCGCGCTCAGACAACAGCGTTGGTTTCAACACCAACCCCCGCTATGGCCGAAGGGGTGTGGACTACAGCAAGTTCCGGACGCGGGTGTGCCGTAACTATTCAATGGGGATCACTTGTCCATTTGGTGAGCGCTGCGCATTTTCGCACGGTGAGCCCGACAAATCTCATGTGCGCACGGAGGAAGCCGAACTGCCGCCACCGCCACCATACCCCGAAGGCGTCCAGGCGGAAATCATGCTGCCACCTGCCTACCCCTCACGATTCCGCCACGATCCGTACAGCTTCAATGGAGTGTTGTTCGAAAACTGATGAAGAGCAGAACAGGGGCTGAGAAACATATCCCTCGAGCCAATCGAAGAATGTCATCGCAGTAAAACAAAGGCCATCACAGAGCGCTAAATCGTCGGAACGGAGGAAGGGGAGCCAGATAGCAAAAAAAAAAAAAAAAAAAATGCCTCTGCCAGCGTCTAATGAAAAGGGAATTACCAAAAAGGAGAGAGAGAGAGAAAGGAAAGAGAGAAAGGAGGAGGGAAAAAAAAAAAAAACATCTTTTTCTTTAACATGGCCGGGCGAAAGAAATGAATACTGCGGGTCAACAAATGAAGAGGGATGCGAAGAAAAAAAAGTGCACATAACGAAAAAAAAAAAAGAATCTGCATATATATATATATATAACATGGGAGCGACGTAAATTTTTGGTTACACTAAGTTATTTTGGAGTGTTGGGTACGAGTTCACAAAAATGAATTTGTTTGTTTGTTTGAAATCGAATGGGAAATATGAAAAGGAAGAACATAAAAAAAAAAAAAAAAAAATTTTCTTTTGAGGGACGGGCGGGCGGGTTGGGGTGTTTGGATTGCATTTGGCTTGTCGAGGAGGAAGGGGGAGGGGAAGTGACCGAGGGTCTCTGCAGAAATGTAACATGTTGAGTCCGGGATGATGTGCGCACTGTCTGAGGGAGGGGGGAAAGAATTGGAGTGGTTGAAAATCCCGCAGGAAGACGTGAAGGGATTTCTCTCACGCTTGCACTGATGCTTCCTCTCGCAGTCATGTGAATTAAATGCAGCCCTCGTCAAGGAGCCCAAACAGTCGTCTTGTTTTTGTTTTTTGTTTTGTTTTGGGGGGAGGGAAGTTTTTCCTCTTTGTTGTATTCCAGCCGACAACCATCGCACCGCCGTGCCCAATGTGATCCCTAGGCTCATAGAGATGTTTGTATTTTTGTGCTCCGTCCCTCACATCTTTTCTTTCGATTTATTACCCTCGAATGTGGGGCTTGTTTATGCGCGTTGTCATCCTTTGATTTTTGGCTCTCTTTTTTTATCAGCCCATCCTTTTTTTCTTTCCCTTGTTTTTTCTTTTTTTGTGTGTGTGTGTTTTGTTTTTTTTTTCTGTTTTTTCCACATTTGTTTTTTTTTGTTTTCTTTATTTTCCCCCTTTGGGTGTATTTCTAATGTTGATTGCGCTTTTCGTGCTTTAATTTTTCTGTGGGTAACTCTGTGTGTGTGTGTGTGTGTGTGTTACCGTTATTTTTGGGCCCATTGCTCCAACGTGCGTCCGCTTGTGCGGCGGCGGCCAGCAGGCGGGAGGTCATGGACTGCTGCATGGGCACATGCGTCTACGCTTTGTACCCGACCTTTCCGTCACCTCATGAGCTCGCGCACTTGTCGGGCAAAACTGGGGATGCATGCCACCATCGGCACCGACATCGCCTGCGGGAATGGAGCGCTTGTGGGAGAGGGAGGAGGCGAGGGGAAAAAAAAAAAAAAAGGAATGGGGGAAAGTTCTTTCAATTTTTTATATTATTTTTATCCATTTCTGTGTGTTGTGTGTGTGTTTGTATTTTCTTCTTCTCTTTTTTTTTCTTTTTTTTTTTCGAGGTGCGAGTTGATGTGTATTCAAGTGAGACTTTTGAGCCGCCAAGAACGACAACGGAGAAGAGATTTACGCATATAAATATATATATTTATATAAAAGTAAAAAATGAGAAAACGACGGGAAAATCTCAAAAAAAAATAAATGTTTTCTTTTTTTTTTTTTTTTACGGATGTATATAGTGAGGTGAGCGGCGTGTTTTTTTTTTTTGTTTTGTTTTTTGTTTTTTGTGTGCTTTTGTTTTTTAGGAAACGGAAAAAAGAAACGATTTGCGGAGAGAGGAGCCCGCCGTGGGTGCATGGACGGCGGGGTGTTTGTGTGTGAGGGCGGAGGGGGAGAGGGAGGGAGGAGTTGAGTCGCAGGACACATCTGTTTGTGCGGTGCGGCACCCGAAGTCCAGTCAGGCGTATTTGCTTCCGGACGGAAATAAATTTGCCAACTCTCTCCCTCTCTCCCTATTCCATTCTTCCTCTTTCTTTCCCTTGTGTGCGTGAGCGTTTGTTGTTGTTGTTGTTTTTTTGCAAACGGAGGGGGCGAGAACGTCGGCGGGGTGTTGCGGAGACGTCGTTCGTGGGTTGTGTGAGGAGACGCGCGTGCCACTTATATAATATGTAAGTGTGCACACGCACAAGCACACAAGCCCCCGCAATCCCAAAGGAAAAGAAAAATCGAGATTAATTTCCCCCCTCCCCCCCTCCCCCACCAAAAAAAAAAAAAAACACGCAGTGATTTGTTATTTATTTATTTATTTATTTATTTATTTATTTATTTATTTATTTTACGCAAAATGGAGGAGGGAAAAAAATAAAAAATAAAAAAAAATGGGGAACGGGAAAAATATTTTTTTTCTTTTTTTTTTTTTTTTTGAAGAGTTTTATCTTCTTGTTGTTGTTGTCTTTTTTTTTCTTTTGTTTTTTTGTTTTTTGTTTTTGTTTTTGTTTTTTTGGGTTTCTCCCGCCGTCATTTTTCCCTTCCCTCCCCAATAAACCTCCTCCACTCCCTCTTTCTTTTTTTTTGTTTCTTTTGGTCGGAGGAGGAGGGGGGGGGGGGGACGCACAAAACCTCATTTACTTCTCGGCGTGGAAAAAAAAAAAAAAAAAATTTCTTCTTCTTTTCTTTTCTTACATACGCGCGTACTCGTGTGTGTGCGTGAGTTTGTATGTCTGGGGTGCAATTGCAGCGGATATATTTATATTTATATTTATACGCATATTGCCCTCGTAAATATACATGCAACGAGTAGCATTTTACTATCATACGTACCTTTGTTTTTTCTTTTATTTTTCTTTTTTTCTAACATTTTTTTTTTTTTTTCTATTCTGTTCTCCTTTTTTTTTTTCTTTTTCTTTTTTCTTTTTTTTTTTTTTTTTTTTTTTTTGATTTCCCCGGGAGTTTTTGTTGGTGTTTTTTTCTTTTCTTTTGTTTTGTTTTTCGGGTTTTTTTTGTTTTTTGTTTTTTTGTCCTTCTTCTTCTCCTTCTTTCCTCCCCCCTCCCCTTCGTTGGTTCAGGGGCCCACAGCCCACGTCCCTCCAACGCAACACCCCCCGGGGAGCCGGGGCCACTGCCCTCACAATGTATGAAGACAAAAATACGGGCGGGGCGGCGTGCCGTGCGGGGCGTGTGTGTGTGGATTTATGGGTGGGTGGACAAAAGCGGGGGAATGACAAAGTGGGAAAAACACAAAAAAAAGTATTTATTTATTTGTCAAACTAAAAGGAGGATGTGAGGGGCGGGAGAGAGAGGGAGAAAGGGCATTGCAGCAGAAACGATATTTAAACAAAAGAAAAAGAAAAAAAAGGTGTTTGAAGGGAGAAGTGGGGGAAAAAAAGGAAAAAAAAATGGGATGGACTTTCGTGTGGTGGTAGGGACCCACCTTTCCTCCCCCCGTTCCCCTTTGCGCCAAACAGAGAGAAGGAAGAAAAAAAAAAAAAGGGAAGTGGGGCCAGTCAAACACACACGTCGAACGGAAAATTGAATATTTATATTTCTATATTTGTGCGGCCTTCCAGCAACTCAGCGCCGTGGTACATCGCGTTCCCTATTTTGTTCGTTTTCTACTGAATTGTTGTTGTTGTTTTTCTTTTGCGTGTGTTGTCCCAACGCCGTTTTTTTTTTTTTTTTCTTTTGAATTTTTTTGTTGCCACCTTGCAGGTCGAAGGAGTGAGTTGAACAGCGAAGAGGAGGGCAGCAGGAAGGCAGGCGTACATGCGGGTCGCACATATGTTTCTGTGGGTAGGAATGCGTGTCTGTGTGTTGCCCCTATGATGATAACTCCCATCGCCTTTGTGGTCAGGGGACGGGTGGGGGACTTCGGCACCCCACTCAGCTGCTCTGCATGACATGTGCTTAAGCTCAGCGAAATGGACTCACTGGGATTTTTTTTTTTCGAATTTTCATTTATCTTTTTTTTTCCGCTTTTTCTTCTTCTTGTGTGCACACATACACACACATTTACCACCACTACCCGCAATGGAGCAGAGAGTGGGTGACAGAACAACAAAAAGAAAAAAAAGGTAAAAGGTCAGGGCAAGAAACGCCACGGATTAAGGGCTCAGAAAATACACACAGAGCAAGGGGAAATGTGGAAATCAACAAGCTCCAAGACCATGTCTGACAATAGCACGACCCACAGCAAAAACAGAGACACAAACTACAGCAAGTTCCGGACGCGGGTGTGCCGTAACTATTCGATGGGGATCACTTGTCCATTTGGTGAGCGCTGCGCATTTTCGCACGGTGAGCCCGACAAATCTCATGTGCGCACGGAGGAAGCCGAACTGCCGCCACCGCCACCATACCCCGAAGGCGTCCAGGCGGAAATCATGCTGCCACCTGCCTACCCCTCACGATTCCGCCACGATCCCTACGGACCGGAGGGTTTTGTTGTTGTTGCGAAGGAGCTCTTCTCAGTTGATCGGATTCAAAGAAACCAACCGCTTGGACGCCTCTACACGTAAATTTATTGTTATTTTTATTATTATTTTTTATTTTCTTAGTTCTCACTTTTTTTTTTTATTTGCGAGTTTTATTGTTTTTTTCTTTTTTGTTTTCTTCTTTATTTTTGTTTTTCCTCTATTTTTGCCGGCCCTTTTCGCTCCCACAACCCCGTGCGTTTGTTCTCTGTTTGGGCATCTTGCTGTTCTGTTCTTTGCGCTGCCATTCCTTCGTGAGAGGAACAAAAAAAAAAAAAACACGGAGTTTGCGTGTAAGTGAAGGGGGAAGAAGTTGTTGTCACGCGCATCGTTATTTCTCCGACGCATCTTCAAACGACTCATTTTTTTTTCTTTCTGTTTTTTTTTTCTTCTTCTTTTTGTTTTTTGCCATTTATATACATATATAAGCATGCACATATGTATATATGTACATGTAAATATATAAATGCGTATTGATGTGAAGTTATTATTATTTATGTAGAGAAACTTTTGTGTGTTGGTGTCGTTTTTAGCTTTTGCTTGTTTTGGCGCCGCTGTTTTTTTTTTTTTTTTTTTTTTTTCTGTGTGTGTGTGTGTGTGTCTGCATATTTTATGGGGACGAAGGGGAGTTATTATTATTTTGCTTTGCTTTGCTGTGTGTGCGTGTGTGTCCCACGTTAGGGTATGATATTACTTTTCTAACATGCACATCTCCCGAGATGTGGTGCGCAGTCCAGACTCAAATGTATAGCAATATAAAAATGTTGCGATCGCCTGTGTGTTTGTTTGTTTGTTTTTAGTATATTTATAATATACTGAAGTATAGTGTTCCTTTTTTTTTTTCTTTCTTTTTTTTTTTTTTTTTTTATGTGAGTTATTGTTTTGTTCCGTTATTCCTTTTTTTTTTTTTTTTGCTGTTTTATTGGTCGTGATGTAAGCACTTGTATGTACGGTGAAGGAATTTCTTGCCCCTGTGCGCAGGCACGATGTGCCCAGGTTGGAGGGAGTTGAGACACATGGAACCGACGGAGTTGACTCCCTGGATGCATTTTTTGGTTTTTTTTTTTTTTGGTTTTTTTGGTTTTGGGGAGGGGGGGAGGGGGGAAT